ACGGTTTCTGAAAGTATTTGTGTCAGAGACTGGCATGCACACATCGATGGTGTATTACTTGATATCATCTCTGGATGTTGCGCCCTTTTTGCTACTTTCCGTTTTGGCAAAGATTAACGCAGTCTGGGGTGCTTAAATTTGTACGGTAAATGTCAGATGGGGAGGCATTTAGAGTACTTTATGCTCTTTCACAATGTACTTTAACTAGACTGACATTTCACTTGATAATGATTGCGATTTGTTTTCCTTTTAATAGTTGGTTTTGGCAACGTTTAGCATTGGTCTCCCTGTCAGGTAAATGTCATAGGCTTTAGCTTATTTTCTTGTTTGGTGAAAGCGACAGAACTAGGTTTGATATCTAGGTGTGTTCTTCACGTGCCTTCCCATTGTATCCCCAATTCACCAAGTGCAAATGAATTTTTTCGTTTTTGTGTGATGGAGATAACGGAGATAGGGTTTAAAAAGGACAGTTGTATATGCAAATGTGGGTTACTTATGCATCTTCCGACTGCGTGATGAGGTGAGTTATCGAGACGTCTCAGCTACTTGACACGTTGAATTGCGTCGACATGTGAATGTTGCTATGGTGAGTCACTAGCCATCTAAAGTTGAGGCTGCTATATCAGTCGAGATTTACTTTGTACGAAAGGATTTTCTTGTCCTCTCGCCCTCGTTATTTCACTGCTGTACACCTTAGCCTTGAGCTCTACCACATAAACAATCCGTCATGGATGTAGGCGTTATCAACAGTCCACGAACATTCAGAAAATGTTTTCATAAACAATGGGACTTCTGGTTACACCTGAGTTTAACTCCACTCGGTTTACTGCATTGCGTTCCTACATTTCTTACATATTTGCCTTCCAGTCTCCTGGGGACTCCGAATTGTCCACGCCTGTCGGATGTGCCAATTTTAGAACCCTTTGCTAAATTTGGCATCACTAGTGACCTCATCACAGACTTGGTCTTTCGAGAGGACAGTATCAATCTCGCTTTTCAACAAGGCGTCATTCTCACCTATTCTCGACCCGTATGTTTTGTCAACCTTTCTAATTATCCTTTTCCCGTTTATCGATGACCTTTTTTGTCCTGTTTTATCATTCTATCTTAAACCCATTTCTATCTTTTCGTTTTTATGGTTTCTTCGTCATTTTACACTTAATGAAGCGTATAGCCTCTCCCACTCACCTTACTGTTTCCACTTGATCAAAGCAGTGATCACTTTATGTTTTTTTGGCCATCGTGTTAAACGGCTCCGCATTATTTTTGCTTTTAGCGCAATAGTGAACTGATATGTCAAGTCTCAGGGATTTCTAGTTGAAACTGGGAGAAGAGCACTTGGTGCTCCGTTTTCAACGCTCTCCACGGATACTTTGGAATTTATAATGTATTCAGACCTCCGAAAGCATTGTTGGTTGTCGTGGGTAGGGGTGAATGCCATAGACACCCAGGTAGGCCATAGGGAATAGCGTAAATAGTGGAACAACATTAGCATAGTGAATTGGGCTGTTTGTGATAGACGAGAGCATAGGCGTTCGCATTTTACTGCTTATCCACTTAAATCTACTATATTTACTGCTTTGGGAAATGCAACTTGTGTATAAGTATTTTGCATTACTGAGAGGTGGCTCTTCACCACCTCACCCTCCTTGTTCCCTTCTTGTGTAGGGCTTGAGGTTGGACCCCTTTGATTTCCCACCTCAAATTAATCGAGAGGAGCTGCAGTGGACACCTCTTTATTGCTGATACATTTGGGAAACCTGTGAGGTCCAGGATGTGTACGTGATCGCCGCCTTGCTGCTGTCATGCGGTGGTTCCATTTTAATTAGCGTTGGCCTTATTAGTAATTACCAAGCCCTTTCACCTCTACTTACCAATCATGAAAAGTAAAGATATCGGAATTGAAAACGTTGTAGTTTGGGTTTGATCAGGGCAAAATTTCGGAATAAATTGCAAAAGAAACTCCCTTTCTGGAGATACAGACACTGTCTTCCTCCCCCTATGACCCGAAGTCGCATGCTGGCAAGTTCTAAAGAAACTGAATCACTGTTCCTTTAATGCCATGCTTTGTTGAAAATTCACATGAAGAGATCGCGTCAGTCCTGGCAACTCGAGACAAAAGTTTTTGCAGACTTGGACACTTCTTACTTGAGATCGCAAATTCATCCAAATTTCTTTCTGAAAGCATTGACGCCTCTTGTCTTGTAGGCGTCGTGTTATCAGATCTTTCCACTGGAATGCTGGGCTGAATCGTCAGATAATGGCGCCTGACAGTTTACACTTGCATTATTTGAGTAGGAGCTGAAGCTCACAAACCATGTCTTCACCTGTCAAATACCTTCAGTTTATCCTCCACTTCTACTCTGTATTATCAACTGTGCTGTTTGGGGAGGAAGGTTTGCTGACTCATCGACTGACTAATTTGTGGTGAAAAGTGGTCTGTTCTAACACATGATTGGTTGTGCTTTAGTGGTCTACTCATTACGGGTTCCACAATATTTCCAACCTTGGAAGTCGGTGTTTTGTTTTTGTACTTTGTGGATTGTCTCGCTTCGGCACTGGGCAGCAGTTGTGACTGAGATCTCTATGAAAATCGGTATTATAAGCTCTCTGTAGATGGCGCTGTTCTAAGTTCTTCGAGTCCCGAGTAGCTTGGTCTTTAAAACAGCGCTTATTTCTCTGTTCATTTCCAGTTACCGAAAGGCCTCCTATATTTCCATTTGCGTAGGTGAAATTGGGCGCTCCTATTTTGACCGCCAAAGTAACGAAACAATGAGTAGACATGGATAATCGGGTTATCTTTTTTTGCATCAGATGGAGTCCTGTTCAGCAACAGCAGCTGCCGGTGATCTGAGTATCTTTGACACCTCCAATCTCGTAGGCGACAGCGGAGCTGTTGAAATCGATGACGAAGGTGGGATTGGTGTGGGATGTGTCGAGACAGTGGACAACGTTGATGTTGATGCTGACGACGATGTTGAGGCCTCACCTCCCCATATGCGTGGCTCAACATCGAATGCCTCGGCAACAAGCAGTACCGCTACCACACCTACCAACAGCAGCAACAACCATCGCTTACGTCATCATGCTCTCTCTCCTGGATTACAACATCGACTGTCGCGGTCTCCATTCGTGCCCGAGTCTGCCGGTCAGGCGCTGTGATGACTGGGATGATGATAATACTGATGTCTTTCATTCTGTATCCTTCCTTTTCCCCTTCCCTTATTCCTCTTCCTTTTATCAGACCGCTTCTGTGCCATCCGGTGTATGTGCTCATGCGCGCTAGCATCTCTGCCATCTCGATTCTCGGCATCTTTGTAAATTCAGAAAAATTATATATATGCAAGTAGAGGGAGCTTTTCCATATCCTTGTTTAATGAAATGACTTCCCTTGGTGATTAGATGGGACGAGTAATCTATTCAGATGGAAAAATGTTGGTGTGGTTTATTCCATCGCATTTCTGTCCTTCGCGGTGTTTGAAGATCTTCGTAGATGTTCTTATGGTAAAAATTGAGCATGAAAATCGCTGTGCTTGTCACGACTAAGTAGCTTTTATTCTAAGTGGATGGTAGTAGGGGAAAGATTGCAGTAGTGTTTCCGTCCTCAGGGGGCACTTTGCTGGAGACGCTTATTAGTGTGGAATCATTGACTTGAATGGTGATAGAACGTGGTTTTTTTGCTGATCTAACCTTGGTTAGGTCATATTGCTCTAATAGCTCTAATTAAGCAATCTTTTGGTGAAGAGAGGTGACGAAAAAATTGTAGGAGCTTCGTGTAGAAGAATATATTGTGCAATTATATTTCTTACTTACAAAGTATAAGTAGTGTTCAGGTGCATGTGAAATGGATTTGTTTCTAGAATTTTTTTGTGTGCAGGATAACGACTTGAAATTTGAAGTGCAATGTACCATTCCAATGTGACGTTTCTCCTATCTACATTAAGGCTCTACCTTTTGATCGAACAGAGAAAAATTGCTTGTAGGAGTTTGAAGTAGCGCAGTAAATGCAATGCTTGGTGCGAAAATGATAATCCTACGGATGGTAGCTGCTAATCCAATTTCGTTTTTTTCATAGTTGAGCATAATCCCATCAAATCTGTCAGCTCTCTAGGTGATGCTACAAGAAGTCTGTCATTTTGCCACCATTTTCCGCATAAGCCTTTTCACATTTCATGACCCAATGACGCGCTCAACATTCTCTCGAGCATGGAAGCGCCTCATCTTGACACAATCTTGATTTCCCCTTCTCCAAATTGCCCTCCCATTCACTACAGACTTGTGCCTTTAATGGCAAGAACCCGCGTGCGGAAACAAGGGTAACAGTGAGAGCACTTAGTTTTATGCCCCAAATGACAGCAATAAATTAAAGAAAACCGTTTATAGCATTTGATTTTTTAATGCTTCCCATTAGACTGAAAAACGTTTGCAGTGAAAAATAATTATTGCCGATGTAACAACTTTTTATAAAAAAATTAACTTGCTCTTCAGTTGAGGTCAACTTTTTAGGGAATCTTAATGCAACACTTGAGCTTATTGAAGCGTAGTTCAACTTAATCTTGTCTAAATATGTCCTTTGTCATAATGACGAATCGGTGAGGTGAAATGGAGAGGAACATGACGGCATTACGGCATTGCTGAAGGGCTTTGATCATCACCCTATTTGAGTGCTCTTGAAAAGCACCACGCCAATAGCCTCGATGCAGACCGTCGCTTTGGATACACTTATTCACACTTCTGTTCAGACTGCAATACCCAGTTGTCTGTTTTCTCTACCAACTCTACTTGACTCGTGAGGTAGGCACAATTTTAAAATTACAGATGATGCAAATTATGCTGCAAAAATTGCCAAGTCCACCCAAACTCTATACAGACTTGTGTTGAAGATAAATTGGTGAAGTGAGGTTCATTTCTCATCCCACGCCAATTGCTATCCCAAACTCCCAAAGGAGACGTTTGCAACTCAAGTGTGTGCATGTGTGGCCGCCTTATTCAGAGGCATTTTTACTTTTAAAAAATTGTCATTAGTAATCTATTTGGTGTTTCACGCCTTTCTAAAATCTCTCCACAAACTCCCTACACTTCAGCAGATAGTGAATAATTGTAACCACTTACCTGATTGGTTGGTTAAAACTTAGATGTGATTAATAACGTTGGCAACCAGCAAACCGCATTCACATTACATTTAAGCTCTCCTGCAGATGGAAATATCACGTGGATATGCGCCTCTTTTTAAGACACATGTCAAGGGCTTGGCCAAAGTGAAAATAGGGGCGCAAGAGGAATTGTCAATTGGTGAGATCCACCAACTTATTGCCTCTAGTGCATTGAAGCCGAATGATGGTTTTTTGGACTATAAAATGCTCCTCTATGATGATGCGATTCGCTTTGAAAAGAATGAGGATGGATCCTCATTTCCAGAAATTCCTTTTGCCAGTGTTCTTCATTTGGTTACACTTCCCAACTTTCCTGATGTCTGTTTTATTCAATTTCGGCGAAGCACTTATAGAATGTACGTGATTCTCCGATTTATTAAAGCAAAATACATCTCCAAGGTGGCCAAATTCATTTGCTCTTGGAGCAATGCCAATGTTAGTGATTCAGAGGAAAGTGTGGCCTGTACACTGGAGCCTTCGCCTCCAAACAATGACAAGAGGTTGCAAGTGAAGAAGCGGACACATAATCAGCCGCCCGTGATAGTGCATCGCCCCAATCCCACTGGAAGTGGTCCAAGGAATCAGTGTCATCGTCCTAAGGCCGAACATACTAATAAAATTCTTAAAACGGAAGGCACTCAAACCATTATCAAAAAGTCAGTTACGAATAAATCAACAGGCGTAGGTCACAGCATTCATGTCCACACCAACCACTTTGCTCCCGACGAGGAGAAGAGAGTCACCGCCATCGCCGTGAAGCGACATCACTCTCTACCGGCGCCAATAAAAGCGGAGAAGGCTCCACTCCGAAAGAGAAGTTCTTCGGAGACTAGTTCAGGAGAAACTGAGATGGCAGGGAATGTAGAAGTGAATTTGCATTGGCAACCAGGCGAGTATACTATCATTGTACCCAGACATAGGGGTTGGCCCCCATCAAAGAATGCAAGGAAACGAAAAATGCCAAAATGCCATGCTCCAAGTCATCCCAGAGGCGTAGGCCGCAGGATTCCATACAACACTTCTGATTCCAGCACATCCACAACGTCCTCCTCGAGTGCAGCCGACATGGTCGACATGCATGGCAGAGAGGTGAAGACTATTTATCCATCCTACATGGAACCGGGCAGAATGTCGCCCAGATCTCGAAATAACGAACGTCTCCTTCACGTGCTGCATAAACCACTTAGTTTATGAGCTTGAGCTACATCGTAACTCTATTTTTTTTTCCTTGAGATTTGCAGTTACACTTAGGAGATTTGCCAAGACCTTGGTTTTGTAATTCACTTTAGTATTCTGTGTAAATTACCTGCAAATATCTTTCCAAAGTCTTCGCGTGGATTACAATTTCTATTCATCATAAAGTGTACCAATAAAAGCTTTAAGAGGTGGAAAATTTTGCCATTTTTTTTAACTCTAATGACATGGGTGTGATGTGTGTGGCATCACACTTTTGCTCGCTTCAGACCAAGAAATCTGTTACAAGTGGAAGCCCATTTTTAGCTAAAGATTTAACAGTGTCTAATGAATTACTGATGCATAAGTTTTGGATGCAAAAATGACTAAAGTGGAGATATGATGATCGGCAAGAGGGGTGGAGGAGGCAGGAGATGCGACCACGCCTAGCAACTTTGAGCCAGTCACGAAGTATGTCATGCGAGCTAAGCAAAAGAGTTTTTCCCTCCCTCTCTTCCGCCCTGTCTCCCTCCCTCGGCTTGCCTGACATGCTACTGAAAGTAAATAACTGTATCAATGAAAAGCGAGAGTTTCCTTGCTACAAAAAGCCTAAGCAAAGCCTCCAACACGCAATGCTGAGCCTATGTGGTGGAATTCGAGCTCTTGTAAAATGATGTCAGTGTATATAGCAATTTTTTTGAACAGACATTCCATTAAAAGTGTTGATTAATAAAATAGCAAAAAAAAGGACGGTAAAGGATTCATTTTTACCGCCTTTAAGTTTAACCGGAGGGAAGAAATCAGTGCAGGTCCTTTACTTCCTCCAACTTATTTGTCATTATGATGTACCTGCATGGTAAAAAATTTTCAATTGCAATTTTCTTATCCAATAAAAAAGGGCTTCATTTAATTTAAAAAAATGAGGGATGCAGTGGTGAAAACGCAACGGTTTCCGCTAAAAGAAGTTCAAAGTGAAAAGTAGTTGGGAATAGTTAAACTATCTAGGGAATGGCTATTGAAGAGGACAATGTGAGTGCAGCAGTCCAAGCCAATGGGAGAAGAGGGAGGTGCAACAGGGTTTCCATAAGGCCAAGACATTTTATTCGGTCAGCATGGTACTTTGAGAATACCTAAAGAACACGAAACTGCTAAGCATGAAAATTGTTAGATGCTGACCTGTTTATCAAAAGGCCAACCCTGTGGCTAATCGCCATAAATGCGTGGCATCTAACTTATGTTAGTGCTTTATTTTAGATTTTTCCTCTGTAGTCGATGCCAAAAAACTAAATTTCGTCTTCCACTGTGTTTCTTACGTCAAGATTATTCTTAGCGTCGTTTCCAAGAAGTTCATTTTGCGTCGAGGCCTTTTGCCGCCTACATTATTATGCACGTGCATGGATCCTACACCATTGGAGGTTCGTAAGGCTTGTTTCCTTACCTACGGCATCAGAGCAGGGAGATGGAAAGAGAAGTGTGGCGACTTGAACGAGTCACCTCTCATTCCTCACCTTCAATTTCATCATTGCGGAATTCGCTGCCAACAGAGCTCCACCCCAATGTTGAACTGACATGCACAATGTGAGTGGCGGTACCAATATCATCACACCCTATTTACATTATTTATATCTTACCACATCATGCTACTTATATTTTAAAGTAGCAGTACCATGTAAACTGGCGAATATTACTTAACAAGGTAATGCGTTGTTTGTGGTCATTTGAATCGAACCTTAACAAATTTATAATGCACACCTGCTAATTAATTGCAAACAGTAATTTTTTGTCTCAGTCGATTCCCAATTAACACGGATTTCTTTTAGGTGCTTTACCGCCAAAGATCAACTTTTTTCTTTCTGCTTATAACCGCAGACACCACAGGAATTATCTCAAAAAACCAAAAAGTGTCACACTCCAATCGTTTGGCACGAGAAATAAATTTCAAGTTTATTCAAGTGTCTAAGTGTTTGTTGCGCTGTCTTCACGATTCCCACACTGCGTACCAATCGGTCTTACCACAATTGATGCGTGATAATAAGCTGCATGTAATCCCACGTCAACAGTGAGATTAAAATCTGCATGCACGAGCTTACAGAGTGTCATTTACTAGGTTAAATCTGTACAACTTCCAGTGAGCACTTATAAGTGCAAACAATTAAATTCCAAGGACACCGATATGAACTTAAGCTGTCAAGATGAATTCGACTCGGGTAACAGCCTGATAGGTACAGGTGATCCACAGAAGACAGAAGAAGAGGCCTGCTTGATGTGAAAATTCACAAACAATAAAACACCCGTGCGATTAGGAATGCTTGAGGCTGCACGCCTCTTGAACATCCCATAATCATTGACCACCAATTTGTAAAAGAAAAACTTTTAAAATGTTTACGTTTACAATACCGTAGTTAAGACCAGAGGGGAGCACTACATGAACCCTTTTTATCGATCTGGTTCAGACTGTTGATTGGTTAAAAGATATCGAGCGATTTTTGGGACGTTTTATTCGCTGCAGATCTTGACTTCACCGGCGGTATGCATACAAATGAGGTGATGTGCATCAAAGACAACCGAAAAAAACTTTAAACAAGTTTACAATCGAAAGCCGTTAATAATGTCAAAAGTGTTTAAGGCTTAAGACTGAGCCTCACAATTTTAGACTCCCCCTCCTTCTCTTGTGTTTCTCTTCTTAATTGGCCTCAAGTGTTTTTAGTTCTTCTGACTCATTCATGTGCTTTCAAAAGTGGCGGAACATGTGTACTTTTGGCTTAACGCATAGATCAGTCTCCTGACAATTGGTGAGGTGTAAAATCATGTCAGCCGAAATGAAGTTGACGGTCAGAACAACAATGCCTTATAACTTACCCATTTCTCATAAAGCACAATTCGATGTTTTAATGAACTCCAAAAAAATACATCCAATAAATGCAGCTACCATACTTTTCGGTCCGAAAGTATATCCCCAAAACACAGACCAGAAGGATTCAAAGCGAAAATGTTACATATACATGTGACGGAGAAACGTAATAAAATTGTTGTTGCAAAAAGCTGAGGAGGGGAGTACAAACGCGGCAATACAAAACATTTTGACAGTTTGTATGCCTGCTGTCTACTTGAGATTGAATTGCTTAAATTTCTCCTGTAATTCCGGCAAATAGTTGGTATGATGTTGAGGAAATTCATTTCCATACTCCATTTCACGCTCTAAATAGAGTGAATCAACGGAGGAATTTGACTCCTCGTCATTGCCGTAGTCATATTGTTTGGGCTGCCTGCCATGAGGGTGAGGTACATTGAATGTTACGCCTTGAAACCGTCTAAATGATCTGCTTTCCCCCAAATCCCAACTGTCCATGCTCTCCCAATCGTATTCGTCCATTTCTTCAACCTGGTAATCCACGTTTCTAAGCCGAGAATTATGTGGATAAGGGTGGGGGTCAATCTCGACTTCATCGGCTAAATCATAAGTAGATTCCGACGATTCACACTTATTTTTAGTGTCATAGGTTCGTCGTACAGTCTGAGCTCGTTTGTAGTTTGATCCAGATCTACGCTCTAGAATGAAAATTTATGGATTAGGAAGTTTAGAAGGCTTACGTTTTTGTGGAGCAGTCGCAAATCGTGGGTCTCTTTTGCGTTTGTCATTGTGAGTGGCCGGACGGCTAATAGGTTTTGACCGAGGTCTATTATCCTCCAGAACCACCAAGGGTTGGCGTTTTCTCTTGACTGAACTTGCCTTTCTCCGATTTGGAACTCCCTGAGCTTTGATGTACAATGTCTTGTTGCCTTTCCGTGGAGTGCGTGACCTAGATCGCGAGGAGCTTCGGTTGAGTGATGCCTGTTTGCTCCGAAAAGACCGACCATAGTCAGCAACGCGATTCCTTCTACACCCTTCCCAGCCAATGAAAGAGTTTTGACGATACAAAGAAAAGGTCGATGTTGCACTGCTATCCTCACTGAAGACAGACGGAGGTGCACTGAAATCACGTTCTATTCGGGGATTATCATATGCATAGACATTCTCTTTTAGAGGGTGTCTTTCGTACATCCTGTACCGTAGGCAATTATTCATCGATGATCCACAGCCCTCTCGACCATGCATAAGGTTGGGATTGACAAGACTTGTTAGCTCCTTGATCCTATTTGCCATTCCGTATTCAATAATCTTGAAAAAATAGTAGCATCCAACTCCTCGTTGTCCACAGAGGATGAAAAGGATATTTTGCTTGTTTGATAACACTTCAATTTGCACCACATCATCGAAGGATATTTCAGACAAATCCGGTCCTCTACTCATGGCATGAAACAGAAGTCGATCACGAAAGACGCAGACGTTAAAGTCGCGTTGAGTTCCCTTCTGAACGGTTATTGTTCGGGCGAGACGTTCAGCATCGATGTGTGGTGGTGGTCCATGGGAGGCAATAAATTTTCTCTCCAGAAGAACCGCGGAACAAGTAAACTCAGGAGGGCCTTTGAGACCAGAACAGCCATTACGGGAGAAGAAACGTGGTGTATGAGTGACCGCAACTGACATCACACCTACTAACAGTTAGACAAAAGTGAGGCCTTCGTGGTAAATTGATGAAGCATGAATAGTGAGTAGGTGAGTCGAAGAGCTGCCAATCAGGTAGATGCCTTATGGATGGCGTAATTGGATTTAAAATATGATTTTCCGTGATTGGCAGAGCCTTTGTGCAAATGTATAAAAGGCGGGTTTGCGCACCTCTGCCATCT